ACTATAAACAGAGTGACAAATCACTCCCAAAATTGCACTTAGAGTTTGACAATAAACTAAGACGAGTGAGTTAGTTAACATTTTTGCTTTAGTGACAATGTAAATAGTATAGCCTACATTATGTTTAATAAAGTACACATAATTAACCGACAGCAGATTATTTTTAAAAAAAAAAAAATGAATGAATATCATACCTAAAAATAGCTATCCAATGTTATTAAGAGCTATTTTTATCACAATATTAAAAGATTAAGTAATGAGTAATGTAAATTGCAGATTTTTATCTTTTACTTAAGTTTTTTAGATAATAATAAAGTTTTAATAAATAAAAACTAAGATTTAAATATTTTTATAAGATATTTCAATCTGATATTTGTTTAAATAAAGGATTGATTAATTTGATATATTTAATATCCCAAATAATAACAAAAAAATTTTTTTTAAAATTCAAATAAAATAAAAAGATTATTTCAATCAAACATATCCTTTTTAAAAGATATTGTTTTTATTTCTAGATTTTTTGATAAATTTTAAATTATTTTCTTTTCTCAATTATTTTTTTTCTTTTTTTTCTAATATGACAATTTATTAATTTTTAAATTAATTAATAGGGACAAATTGTTGATAATAATTTTAGTAAATTATAATTAATCCAATTATATCTAAAAAAGTAATACTATTTCTAAAATCTAACTTAGAGTATTTATATATAAAGACAAATTGGTTATTTTATGAAAATTTCTAATTTATTATAAATTTTGTTTTACTTTTTCAATAAAGACAAGCTATTATAATATAATTGTGAATTAGCAAAAAAAAAAAACTAATATATTAAAAAAAATAATTAAAAGATTTAATTATAATAAATAAGTTAATTTTTTTTTTTTTTTCATCTTCTGTCAAACTAGTTATATATACTTTATTAAACATTTGTAAACTATATATATAATATGAATCACTAAAGTTAAAAAATACTAACTAGTTCATTTGTCTTTATAATTACTACTCTAAGTGCAACTTTGGAAGTGATTTATCACTTCATTAGGAGTTTAGGTGAAAACCTTTTCAACTTTTAATATCATTGTTTATAGGTTACTACTGCAGATAATAAATAAGTTAATAAAAATATAAAAATTTAATAATAAATATATACTGTAACTCGTATATTAACTGTTTTAGATATTTAATAAATAAATAAAATTTTTATGGATTAAATAAAATATTATTATTATTATTATTATAATTTATAATTTAAATTTTATATACCATAAATAATATGATCAATTATATCATACTATAATTATCGAATAAATCATAAAAGGAAACCTTTTTGTCCTTCATTATATGCTGGATATATAGAATGCATGCATACTGTGCATAGAAACGTAATATACATATATTTTTAGGTACACAAATATGGTTCTAAATAAATTTATGAGAATCTTTGATACTCAGATTGTTTAATTTTATATGGACTTTACTATTAATGCTCGAAGAAATCTCCGACTTGGTGTCTCTCAGCTAACTGGATATGATGAATCAATTATACAGAATTTCAGATGCAAACAGTTGGTGCGAATTTAAATTGCTACTTGATTCTAACCAAATAAATCGATTCCTTCTTCATAAACGATCCTGCATTTCCCAATTTAGAAGGATAATAAAACATTTGAAAAGTAAAATCTACATTTCTCCTTCGCTAAAGAAAAACTGTGCTAACCTTAAATGATCAATTGCTATACCATACCTCCAGAGTTTTAATACTAATGACTCCAAATAATAGTTATTAGGGAGTCTCGCAAATCTGTAACAGATGTTTCATCATACATTCCTCGGTCGAAAAAAAAAAAAATGTCGTCAATTCTTTTAATCTATTTCTCTTTACAGTTCTTCAGTCTGTTTTGGACGTTTCTTTGTAATTTTCTGTTTTAATCGAAAGAATTGGAGTTCTTGATGTAAGATTTCTACAATGTTGTTGCACTATTATTTTGTCATAAATCCTCCGTCTAAATAACTACATCTGTCCATTCAAACACGCACGTAATAGGCTTACCTGAAACAGAGTCAAAGAGTTGTCTCGGTGAATAAAAATATACAAACTATTGTTGTTACATCTTTAACCATGGTCGTTCGAACCACAATTTCCCTACCTATTATCACCTTACCACCCACGGGAACCGTTTCTAGCATAGAGTTGAGTACAAGCACGGGAAGTAACGTCCCAACAAGCACATTACCAAGTAACAATAGAAGTGATATCCCTTCAAGTACCAGCAGTAGCAACAGAGATAATACCTCCTCAAGTGACAATTCCGGAGATGCCCTAAATACATTAAATGATTCTGGCAATATCAGCAGCATTCAAAGTAGTAGCACTGCTACCATTGCTACCATTACTCCTTTGATCGGTGACCCCAATACAGAGATTGTCAACTCCGCTACAGTGATTGATAGCTCCGCTACAGTGATTGATAGCACCGTAACCGATGCCGTCGCAACTGCTATCACCGCAACTGCAACTGCTGCCACCGTGACTACGACGCCAACGTCAAATAGTAATAATGGATCAGGCGGTCACATTTCGCACTGGATTATACCCACCATTTCTATAATTTTACCTTTAATCTTCACTTTTGCTGTATTCTGTATTCTCAGAAGTAGTTCGAAGTATAGGCGGCGCAAACGTTTACTGGGTGAAGGGAGTAACGAGGGTTTCATGCGGGAAGTTGGCATGAGTGAGGGTAACGGCAGTGATAAATCATCGTTAAATAGCGAAAATCTTGGAGATGAATTTAATTACGGTAATGGTCAAAGTTTTTTTGGTGGTGCCCTTGATAATTCCATAGGATTTTCAGCTGCTAGCGGCTATAACCAAGGCGACATTGCAGATGCTCATGGCGTTAATCTCACCACAGATGATCCATTCGCTGACACCGCGTCCGCGTATATAGAGGATACATCTTTATTTAGAAATGCATCGTCAGATGTTATAAAAGACGTCAGAGCTCGTAAACTTCCCAAAATAAAAACCCATAATCTTGCGGGAATGTTTGCAAATGATAATGAATTCCCAGAAATTCAAAGTACTGAGTCATTTAATTTTCATGGTGCCCCCTTTCAAAACAATGAACATTCTCATGAAGTGGAACCACGGCCAATGCTAAGACCTACACTGTCACGAACTCCAACTGTGGTCTCGGCATTCAGTGAATTGATCGAGCCATTCCTTCCATCGCAACCACCTGTATCACCTTCAAGTGATAGCAGTATTAAAGATATTAGAAATGTGATTATGAGCGCGTCAGGTAATTTGGGCAGTACTACAGGTGGTACAGAATATTCCCCGAGATCCCCATTATCCAATATCGATAGTGATGAATTACCGGTGAGCGAGAAAGATGATGAGACGGGGAGTAAATGGTTAGCAGAAGAGCTATCAACGGCGCTGACGATCTCATCGGCTATTGAGTCAACGGCATTGCCTATACTTTCTACGTTTGATAACGGTGTCTTTGAAGAGTCAGAACCTCGCGGCGACCTCAATGCTACGGGACGGTCACATGATAACACAGAGGAATTGCACGATGATATCGAACAATCACGCGCTGATATTGTAGACAGACTGTACGATAATAGATCTTCCAATTACACAAATATCCCAGAACCATAAATAATACTTAATAAATACCTTTGCCACGTCGTCGCGAGGGATTTTAAAAAGTTTGTAGACTATAATAATAATACCACCCAAATTTCCGACTTTTTTATGGGAAAGGAAAATTATATACAATTATGCATAAGAGATATATAATGGAGGAACTCTCGAGTCAACAAAATTTGAAGATGTGACATGTTTTTTACTCAAGGATGCATTTTTAATCGTTAAAGTATTTTTTTTTTTCATATTTCATTGATTAATAATTAATAGACGGTTGCGAGTACAGAGAGAAAACGTGTTTAACCACCTACCATTTGTATCTAAAGCACATCATTTGAGATAGATAGAATTTTATTTTTTTATAATACAAAGAGATAATTGCTGGTCCTTTTATCGCAAAAGGAATGACTGACCACATTCGCAACATAATTTCGTCGTAATATTTCTTTAATAAAAATCAATAGTCTTTTATGCGCAAAACCTGACTAAGATTTATGTTCGTATCACAAACCCACATCTGTGCGCATTGACCGATTAGAGTAAATATCTGCCCAGAATTGCAAATTATAGTTTTATAAAATCAAAATGAATATATTATTTTAAAAAGATTTTTTTATAAATATAATTAATTCAAGTAGTATAATATATCTACAGCTAAACTATTGCATTAAAGTTTAATTAACTTATTATAAACAATAAAGTCTCTAGGTTTGAGCTTAAAAACAACATCTTTACTTTATAATAAAATTTGAAATAAAATTTCTTTAAATTACATATTATTGTTAACAAGTTATTACTACTATATATTTTATCAAACTACTGAAATATATAAAACTATAAAAGAAAAAAAAAAAACTCTTCTACTAATTTACATTTTTTTCAAAAAAAATTTTTTTTTTGATAATTTTCTTGAAAAATTCACAAAAACTCTTCTACATAAGAGCAAGCCTCAGAGGACACAACCATACACTCCTAGACAACAAAATCTACTTTGCAACAACAAGAAAAGAGTTTCATTTAGCTTGAAAAACAGATATACTTAGATTATTTTGCTTTTAGAAAGGAGAAAAAACAAAAACAAGCTGATTCACAGTAGACTTCTTGAAACCCAACCTCAACTCCACAAAGCTCTTAGCCAGGCCAATGCAAGTTAACACCTTTCTAAGTATTAAGAAAAGTCTCAGAAGCAATAAATTATACCAATAAATCAGTACAACCTCAAAGCTAACTGAAATTCAGAAGGATGTTCAAGACTCTTTGATCAAATAATCAAAAGATCACAACAATACAATAATTTCAGATCAACTAATTTACATCACGTGAACACAAACACATTAACTTTCTACCTGGTTGACGTGTATCAAAGCAAGTGGATTAATCTACAACAAAACAGTAGGATGTAACAAATCAACAAACAAAAATATGTGTAATTAACCAATATGTGTTATCTAAAGCAAGATCAACAGTTAATTACAACTAGTTATATGTTAATAAACAAATACCAGATGTGTAAACACATAGAAGCTACATGTCATACACTCTCTAATATCAATATAATAATTTATTACTATATATATCAAACAAAAAATAATACATAAAACTCTTTCCGCTGATTCCCTTTTTCCTAAAAAATTTCCTTATTTGGTAATTTTCTTGGAAAAGAGAAGCCAGCCTCAAAAGCACTTTATCCTT